TGAAAGAAAGAGACAGTCACAGGCTGGGTATGCTGAGAAGTGGCGAGAGACAATGCAAGAGGCCTATGCCATAGCAATGAGCAACATGAGAAAAGCAGCTGCAAGAGGACAAAAGATTTACAACCAGCGAGCTTGGGGCTCCACCCTTGAGCCTGGTGATCATGTTCTCGTGAGGAATCTTACACCCCGAGGTGGACCAGGTAAACTGAGAAGTTATTGGGAGGAACAGACACACGTTGTAAAAGGCAGGAGGGGCCTTGAGAGTCCGGTCTATGTAGTTGAACCGTTGAGTGGGAACGGAAGGCTACGGGTGCTGCACCGGAATCTTTTGTTACCTTGTCCTTACTTGATTGGTAAACCTCAGAATGACAACCTGCAGCCGCAAGATGAAAAGAACAGCCACAAGAATAAAAAGAAAAAACATGAGAAACCTACACGAAACACGTACCAAACAGAAGAGGACAGCTCTGATGAAGAGGAGTTCAACTGGCAAATAAAGAAACAGCAAAAACCTTACCTCAATGCACAGGCGGAAGAATTTCACCCAAAGATGGGGATTCAGATTAGGGAAAATGTGAATTCACCCGCAGGTGAACCCCGGTTGGAAGATGGTGCACCGAAAGTATTTGGTGCTGAGGACATGGATGAAGATAGCACAGCAATGTCCGTACCTGACGAGAGGCAGGAGATAGTTGAGGTACAGGAAAGGGAAACAAAGAGAGCCAGAAGGCATCCACTTACCTTTACTTATGACCAACTGGGCCAACCAAGCTATCAGCCATTACAAGCCAGTAGTAGAAGCATAACAGGTGCAACCCTGGAAGTTATGGGGGTGACCAGGAGTAACCCAGATACCAGCTCTTCATTGTATCCTTTTCACTTCTAATTGTGTCTAAAGGGAAGTAGGGGTAAAGTCTATAGGATGGAATTGCAAGTGAGATGATGTATAATTAGCAGTAGCAAAATATTGAGTATTCAAATGAATAGGAATATATGTTGGGTTGTTTTTTTAGTAGGAGTATTGATGTGGGAAAGTCATATGGCAGAAACAATACTTGTAAGCATTAACGGAGGTGCATGTGGTAGTTTCCTTGCCCCTTACGGCAGATAGGTTGGGCCTACCTTCATCCCGACGAGCGAGCATCTCTACATATGGTGGGGCTGATCATCCCTAGACCATGTGCCTGCCAGGCTTTATGAAAAGAAAATGGACAGTAACTGGACAATGATTAATCACAGAGTGACAGTACTCTGAGCTGCTATCATACCAATGCATGATGCAGACACACTCACTTTGTACTTCTGTTAATGTTATGGGGAGTCACAAAATGTTTGATGACTTTTTTTTTTGTGTGGGGGAGGGTGTTGCAGCCTTGACATTTCATGGTTTAAATATTTAGGTTTAAATGTTTAATGCTTAGATATGTATTTTGTTTTTGTACTTTTTGTTGTAGTTGCCTTGGTTTACATGGGAGAGGAACAACAGTAGCGGAAAAACTGAACTGTCCGTTTAAGGCGAGGGTCGTGTGATTGTGGGAAAGGGGTTTTCCGTTGATGTAAAAAAAAGAGTGTCGTAAAGAGTAGAAATCGGGACACTGCCTGTATTGTTCGGTAAAAGAAGTACTGCAAAATAGATGG